TTCAAACTTCCCAGGTGCATCCATAAATCGATATATGCACAGCTAAAAGCATGAACCAATTCTTTTATAACATGGCGATAACAACTTGAACGCTAACACATGTTTTATTTGTGATTGACTACAAAGTTCTCACAATGCACGGTGAACGAAAACAGAGGTCATTAGAATCCTAACGCGCCACAATCAGTTGAGCAACGGTTGAGCGAAAAACACGTCGAAAACGCATAGCCTGGTTCCTAAAATTGCCAATGAAGAATTCGCTTCTTCGAAATAATTATAATGAAATTGTAAGCACACAAAGTCAAAAATACTCGATGAAAATGTAGACAAACAAAGTCAAAATACTTACGTTTAAGTCGACATCTTAGCTTGGCAAAAGTCAAAGGCTCGAATTAGAGTTTGGATTGTTCAGAATAATCTTTACATTGTCGAAACTTAAACAAAAGGAACTTGCACTGAACTCGACAGAAATTTTGCAGCTAAATTGAAACTGCACACGTCATCTTATATACGCACGGCCGCGCGTACATAGAGATTTCGTTCATGATGGCTCAATAGGAATTAGATAGGACTAGCACGCGCGCTATGTTATAAAACGGAGATACATGAACATGGCGGCTCCATACTGGGCTCTGTAAATGTGTGCAAAATATACTTCGACGAATATTTGAAGTTTGGGAAATTGTACAGACGTAAAACTCGGAGAAGAGTCTTCTTTATTTATCTCCGACCCTACAACATTATAATATATTGACTTTATCCACTGAATGGTTTTCGAATTATTTTTTTTATTGCGTGACAGTGCAACCGAAGAATAGGACCAATTCAGCACGGCTGACTCACGAATTGGGACTATCAATCAAGTTTGTGCCTAAAAAAGACCTCCTTATGTACTCTCTATTATAGTTAAGTTTATCCCTATTTACACTACTGTGCAAGTGCCTGGCGTTCGGCTTATGAATCAAATCTCAAACGTTTAAATACACTTCAGCAACGAATCATTATGATAATTTCGAGAGATACCGATCCTATTTTTGTGAGGTTAGCCCTCGGCCGGACGTACAAGGTGGGGATGAATGCCACCCACCCATAGGGTTTTTCAAATTTTTGAAAAGACGATTTATTCTAAGGGGCTGAAACATTCAGTTGATATGTCAGCTGTGCGTCCATCATTTTTGACGTTGCATGGCAACCGCAAATTTCATGTAGGCTTGGCCAAAAATCAACTTTTTTGACATAATTCTGTACCTTTTTCCAGTTTTCTTCATGAAATGTTCCGAAATTCGCGAGTTTGTGTATTTCATAAGCATTTGGCTTGATTCTGCTTTAATTTCCGTTATTTCTTGACCTTTTAATAAAAGAGTGAAATCCAACATGGCAGACCAAAAGACGTCATTTAACATCATATGACGTTATAACGAACAAAAATGGTATTATCTTGTAGAGCAAACTCAGGGCTATCTAATGAGTGTAAATTTATTTTGCTTTGTCTTAACCGATCGAAAACCCAGAGGAGCGATCCATCAACTCCTCCGCAACCCTTGTACCTCGGTGGGGTAATGAGTTAGCTTATATGTCCGAGGGTTAATAATCCTTAAATTTGAAAACATTATTAAACTTCAAATAGGTAAATTTATGTACCTTTGCAAAAATCGCCTTCTTCCGGAAAGTTTCACTTACATGGTTTTACTGCGACGAACATAAATTCAGTTTTAGAGCTAAGAATTCTTTCCGTTTGCCCTACTGTAGGAAAAATGTAAAAACATTCTCTCTCCGTTTTCAAGGCCCAAAATTATTTTATTCTCTCAGCACTGAAATTCAAAATGCCTCTTAGTTTTGCTGTATTCACCTCTAAACGTTCGTCACCTTTCTTGGTATTAGTATGTTTTACTTCTCTTAGTGTGCTTGTGTGTGCTTTTCTTGATTATTTTGCGTGCCGATGGCAGCATTTTTATTCTCTTGTTAAGAATTAATTACTCAAGGTAATCTTTTGTATAAGCCTTATTGGCTTCTCCGGGCTTCCTTGCGTGCCTATAAAATACATTGATGGTTTTTTTTTCTATTTATAACTGGCAAAAGTAAAACAAGAAACAACCGCTTACTCGATCAACAGCAAAGTACTTGTCTGATTGTGTCCTTCACTGTTTGTCTCACTTCGTCGATCTT